CTGAAAAAACCTAAATCTCCTCTCCTCTCAAATGGCGGCTTTTGCTTCAACTCTCTCTCTTTCTTCCACCAAGCTTTTCGACTCTTCCTTCCATGGCTCATCAATCTCCGCCGCACCTGTCTCCTTCGCTCTCAAATCACGATCTAACGTCGTCTCCGTTCGCGCCACTTCTGGTTACGATCTCAACGCCTTCACTTTCGATCCGATCAAGGAATCGATCGTGTCTCGTGAGATGACAAGGAGGTATATGACTGATATGATCACTTACGCCGAGACTGATGTCGTAGTCGTTGGTGCTGGATCCGCTGGTTTATCTGCTGCTTATGAGATCAGTAAGAACCCTAACGTTCAGGTCGCGATTATCGAGCAATCGGTTAGTCCTGGTGGTGGTGCTTGGCTCGGTGGTCAGCTTTTCTCCGCCATGGTAATAAGTTATCCCAAATCTCTCTGTATCTGTCTCTGTTAGGGCTTGTAATCGTTTTTGAGATTAGAGATGGATTTGCATGTATGAATTAGGTCTCTAGATTGAATCACAGTGAATAGATTACATGTTCTGGTGTGTGTTTATGAGTATTAGACTGAAATAATCATTGTATATTCGTATTTGCCAGATTGTGCGTAAGCCAGCTCACTTGTTCCTAGACGAGATTGGTGTAGCTTACGATGAGCAAGACACCTACGTCGTGGTCAAGCACGCGGCTTTGTTTACATCAACCATCATGAGCAAGCTCTTGGCTCGTCCCAACGTGAAGCTCTTCAACGCTGTGGCGGCTGAGGATCTGATCGTGAAAGGAAACAGAGTTGCTGGTGTGGTGACTAACTGGGCTCTTGTCTCGATGAACCACGATACACAGTCTTGTATGGATCCTAATGTTATGGAAGCCAAGATTGTTGTCAGCTCTTGTGGTCACGATGGTCCCTTTGGAGCCACTGGTGTGAAAAGGTTGAAGAGCATTGGATTGATCGATCATGTTCCTGGAATGAAAGCACTCGACATGAACACAGCTGAAGATGCTATTGTGAGATTGACCAGGGAGGTTGTTCCCGGTATGATTGTGACCGGTATGGAAGTTGCAGAGATCGATGGTGCACCGAGAATGGTGAGTTTATAACCAATTTATGATTCAATCGCCAGAGTTTTTTTTAGAGCAATATAACCTGAGGAAATGAATTTGTGATGCAGGGACCAACATTTGGAGCTATGATGATATCGGGACAGAAGGCAGGACAACTTGCTCTTAAAGCTTTGGGACTGCCCAACGCTTTGGATGGAACGAACGTCGGAGACCTAAGCCCAGAGCTGGTATTAGCCGCTGCTGATTCAGCTGAAACCGTAGATGCTTAAGAAAAGCGTTTTTAAGTTTAAGAAAATGTCACCGTGATCCTTCAGATGTGGAAGGATTGCAATAAAAGGAGTTTAGGTGTTCTAAAACTTTTATGTGAGTATTTATGTTTTGAACTCTCTGGTGTCTTTGTTTCCTCTCAATGAAATGTTTCTTCTGTGTAAAATTGCCTAATTCGTAATATGTGTTCTTGTTTTATAGTACAAGCAGCTCACTTGGTCTGCTTTACTCGTTTGCATGTTAGTGTTTCGTAGCTGTTAAAATATGTAACAGTTTTTTTCATCCGAATTTCAGAGAACAACCATTAATTGGAAAGAAATTCAATCTTGTTTCATGAACAAATACTCCTACTTCTGATATGGAGTTCAAATATTTCATGCTTATTTACATTTTATAAACCGACTTACAAATGCAACAATCTGAGGTTAATAATCACATGGAAGATGACAATTTTTTGTGCTTTTTCTTTTGGTATACCAGCAAAAGTGTAACCACCTGGTTTGTAAAATCAATATTACAACATGGATTTGTATGAACAGTTTACAACGAGAAAGTTGTTGTGTAAGTTAGGGCTCCATGGTTTCTCTCTATCTTCAGAATGCTTGCAACCCAAGGGATCGTAAATCTCTGACCAGTCACTCTTTGTCGCCGGATTTCGTGAGTTATCAAATATGTAAAATAAAATACACAAACACTAATCATGTATCTTCTTCTCCAATGCTATTTCTTGGCCTGCTATAACAAAGAACAGAACAACAATCAGAGAGACTTAAAAGACAGCTAAAAGAGTTTCTTATTAGAAAATTTTAACAGAAAGAATCTCAAAGAGAGGGAAGAGATATAAAACCAACCTTTTTTAGATATTTCTTGTGAAGTTTCATTGCACCAGAACAGGCTTTCTTAGCATCCAAGTTTCCGGTTATGTCGTTTAAGATCTAAGCAAAACAAACAGATTAACAAGGAGTTTATTAATTGGAAATTGAAGGAGTAGAAGAGAGAGAATCGGTGAGATATCGCCGCATTACCTTAACAACGTCATCGAGTCCTCGAGCTTCGGTCATCAGCTTGGAACTCTTGTCTTTCAAAACACTTGCCACTAAGAAAACCGAAATAGGCAAAGGACCTTCTGGGCTTTTTGCACCGTTCTTCATGTTCTCTCTCTCGTACTTCCCGCATTGGTTTATCGACTTTGGTTTACCTTTGGAGGAACCTTCGGTTTTCTCTCCCTCGAACTGAGGCTCCTCGTACAGTAAATACATTTCCGGATCGTACTCTAATGCCCACATCATCTGCCAAAAACAATCCCGGGAAAGGAAAATATGGATCTTCATTAGTGCGTGGCCCAAGAAAAATGTTTCTACGTTTATAAAGAGACGAAGAAAACATTTACCTCCCAAAGGTACAAGGAGTCGCAAAAAGAGAATTCTCTTCGGAATTGAACCATTATCATCCGAATCGCAAAGAGATAGTCACCTCCACCCAAATTCTCTACATTTCAAGATCCAAATTTCCATTCAAGATTTCTCTCGCTCAACCAATTACGATGATTATATGCTATGAGTGAGCTGAAAAACATAGATACCTAAGTGATGGTGAAGTTTGGGGTCAATAATCTGAGTGATTGAAGCCAAATGCGTAAGCTGTGCTTCGACTCCAACTGATCTCCCCGTGCTCCGGAAATTCCCTCGCTTTCAATTTTTAAAAGGAAGAGGAAAACCCTTTAATATAATCTGATTACAGATACAGTTAAGACAAACATATTAACACAAACAGAGAGGTAAAGTACCAATCGGCGCATCAATCGTTCGAAACACCAAAAAGCATCAGCTTCATCTTCAAGAAGCATAATCATGGGGGAACAAAGATCACTCATTCCTGGTCAGAAGAAACCGTAGATAGATCAACACCAAAGAATCAACCGCCATTTAAAGGCTTGTACTGTGTTTGTTCTCTGAATTTAAAGGCTTTACCTTGGCAATATCCGACGTCGTTGTCTATCCAGGCGTAAAGAGCTAGAATATCCCAGAGCTTTGACAAATTATCCTTATTCTCATAGAATACTAAAGTCCTATCCGTACGATTTACATCAAGACCTGAAAATAAGAGTTATTATCTCACTCAGAACTATTTTCTGTTGAGATCCGAAGCTGAGTGATCACAGACCTATCTGGTGAAGTGTTAGCATCCACTGAATAACTTTTTTGTCCAAAGGTCCGCGGCTTGTAAGCTCTTGGAAGAAATCTACACCATTTTTACCTGAGATAATACAAGCTCTAGTAAAACCTCATGTTCTGCTATATTTCCTTAATCAAACGATAAAAGTTTTTACCTAAATTTGTTTCTTTTAGTACAAGAGGATCGTAAATGGGTTGACCCTTTTCGGTAATTACAGGTGCGGTAATGAATCCACCACTTCCAATGACGGGAAACATTTGTTTACATTCTTCCTTCCAAGAAGCATACTGCAGTCTGAAAGGAAATAGCGATACTTTGAAAAAATAAATAAAAAAGACATTAGAGCAAAAATAGTTTATACGGGTTGAAAATCACCTTCTACGTAGTCGAATTTGCTCTCTTTCTTCAAATGTGCTCTTTGGATCATAGCAACCTAATAAGAATTCCCAGACTTCTCCTCTAATTGATGGATGGATTCCCTAGACCAGTCAAGAAACCAAGCAAAAGGATTGGAATGATAAGAAAACGCAATTTGCATATGCGGAACAAATTTAGTTAATGACAATATGTTTTAGAGACTTACTCCTCTTTGGATTCGATTTAGAGTTTTGCCCATATCGAGGAATCCTTCTGTTGTAAATGCAGCTTGCCATTTTCTTACACTTAGAGTTTTACCAGGCTGCACAAACATAATCAAAGAAAACGACAGGTATTATTTGTCAGCAACATAGACTCTACCATTCTTTAAACATAATCATGTTTTGAAGATCAATCAATAATAATTTCCCATCAATTATCAGCATCAGAAAACCTAAACATGAACTATAAGCAAGTCATATAGCATTATTGGTTACCAAAGAAAACCATTAACCATAACTATTAATGAATTATTCTCTCGTCTCCTGTTTGATCACTTTCAAAACAATGAAGAACACATAATCCAAGGAATAATCTGTCTTTCTTTCTCTAAACACAATCAATCATGAGAATATCAACCTAAAAGAGAGCATTAAGATCAAGAATATGCCATTTGCTTCCTCAATTCCTGATCACATAACAAATAATGTTCTCTTTACAATCAAAGGAGAAATCATGCCAATAATAATAACAACCAAATGTTACAATTTAGCTTAAATACTCAATTGTATCCGCAATGAATATAGATTCAGTCAAAAAAAAAATCTGAAATTTGCTAGGGAATTGCAATCGCCAATCTCAAAGGACAAAATCGAAGAAAGGAACGTACTTTGATCTTGAATCTTGTATTGGGGACATCTGTGCACTCAGGGCGAATCTGGTAATAAGAATCTGCTGGTTCTGCGGCGGCTCCCCACATTTATGGAATATTTTCAATACTCAAAATAAAAACTTTCCCGGGAAAACTAATGGAAGAAAAATTCCTCAGAAGAGAGAAAACAAAGAAAAAAACGAACAAAAGCGGGTTTTTCTTTTCTTTTATTTTCTTTATACAACGAACCCAGAAAAAGCAAAGATTGGAGAAGAAAACAAAAGAAGAAAAAACTGGTACCCTCTCAAAAGATCGAATTTCTCTCTTTGTCGAATTTGGGGAACAAATTAAGATCTTAAGAGGGGGTCCAGTTTTGGAAAATTAAAAGAAGAAAAGATCAAAGACAAGAACTTTTCTTTTTGGGTTGCAATATTTCTTTTTATTTAACTATCTAATAATTTGGTTTCCACTAACCAACTACGTTTATTATTCTCTTATTTTTTCACTTCATTATTTTAGTTTTTTGATTGGGTGGTCTCCGGAGAAACAATGATTTTTTATGGTGAATATGAGTTGGGATCTTTCTTTGATTGTCTTCTTTTCCATTTTTAGAAAACGAATTTGAGAGAAAAAGAGGAAGAATTGTGTGTTTGTTGACGTATGGTAGAGTTTTAGGCCAAATCTAAAGAAGACCATTCTCTAAATAAAATAGAAAATTTTTGAGAAATATCATTTTTCAAAAATG